GTTTAATACTTTATATTTTATTAACAGTTCAGTTAAATCAACAACTTTACTGCAATCGTTGTTCCTGAGCTCTGCAGAGTAACTTTTACTGAAAGATCATGAATTCTGATGTACTGCGTCACTATTTATTTACTTTATGTTGTCTTATGTAATCTATGACTTGTTTGTTGCATCATTGATATTTTATTAATGGATGACCATTATCCTAGACTAGCTAATCAAAAATAAAACAGTTTTGAGGCCCAAACTGGGTTTATTTTGGTGTAAAATCTCACATCAGAATCATTGTTTTTTTCAATAAGACAAGTTTTAACAAAGTTTTGGAAATACACACATCAAGGTTCTGTTTCTCAGACATCCCTGATGTCTCTGATTTGTTTGTGTTTACTGAATAAATTGAGAATAAATCGAATAACTCGAGGCTCAATGGGATTTACCAGTCTAAATAAAAGTTGAATAAATTGAAGTAAAAAAAGTAACAAAAAGCATAAATATAAAGCAGGCAGATGTTTTGCCTAATGGTTTCACTGGTTCTGAACGTTTTTAAGCTTCTAAACTAATCCGAACGACTGATTCGTTTTAGGTTTGATCATAAAGAGGAGAAAAACAAAGATGAATAGAAATAAATTTTGTTTTATTTTTATTTAACCGATGGACAGGGGTTATTTATATCATTTGATTTCTGAAATTTCTTATGCAATATTTTAAAAATGTTCCTCAAAATAAATCATGACAAATAAATAAAAATAACTCCCTTTGACTCGACTCTAGGTTTGAAATGAAAAAAGAAATGGCAGAACTCCTCGCCCAGTTTGCCTTCACCGATGAAGCATCGTAACTCAGTCCCCCTGACTCTGCGACGCACTTTACGCTTCAGTCCGTCCTGTTCAGACAGTTTCAGGGGAGTTACTCCTTGCCCTTCACATGCGGCTCTAAAAGTGTCTTCATCTCGAGCTCCTGCACAAGTTTCTCCACACAGGTCTTAAACTGAGGCTCGGGCTCCTGACACACAAGAGACAGAACAAAAAAAGACATTTTAACAAACTGCAGGCCTCAGAACGAAAAAATGTATGATTCTGCTGTCATGTAAAACATTACCAATAAAGTATTTATTTTACTGAATGTTTAACTTTCTGTAAATGTGGCCTTTTCTAAAAAAGGATTAAATGATAAAACTTGACCAGCATCCCGTGGTTAAAAATAAAACAAACTCAACTTCAGAAAAGAAACCTTAAAAAAAAAAAAAGAAGAAAGTTTAATTGATTTCTTTTATGATTATTTTTATTGCCCACTGTGAAAAGCAGTGATGTTTTCAACCGTGTCTGTGTGAGCGACTGCGTGTCTACTGGCAACAAACCTCATGAACATAATCATTAGATCTACAGCTGATTAACCTTTGGAGTTAAATTCAAGATGGCTGCAAGGATGACAAACCTAAGCACACATAAAAATGACTATAACACAGATACTGAGCTAAGATTTGATGTGGTAACTGAGAGTCATTCACAGCACATACTCGGAGCGTGACATCTCATAATATTGCACGAGGTTGTTCATGTGACGCAACGGGACATGATAAAGTTGTAGCGGTCATTTCTCAACATAAGGTAGCGTTAGTGTAAAACTCAGGCGATGTGCATTCCTTCAAACGATTCTAGGCCTTTACAAAAGTTTCTGCCTCCTTTCTGAAAGCATCAGCATAACTGATAAATACTTCAAATAAAAAGAGCATGAAGATTCGGGTTTTCTCCAGATGTTACAGACCAAGTAATCATCTCACCACAGGCTTTTCAAACCGCTTTTGGAACAAAATCATTTCATGAACACAAAAACGTTTTTGAAGTTCACATAACTTTTAAAGACTTTCATAAACTGAGGTGCCACGTCTTAAAGAAAGAGGCACAACTGTACCGAGCGACGTCACGTGCGCCGCAGTGTGGCCGCACTGACGGGAGCTCCGCTTTAATTTGCTCTTATTTTGTTCCTCCCGTTTTTGTTTTAACTTTTTTTTGTTTTGCTCCTACACTGCACACCCACGCTACGGGTATGACCACAACGCACTTTTGGAGTTTGATGCGTCGCTGCCTCGTCGTCCTGCCATCGTGGTTCAGTTCCCGGCCCCCTCCCAGCTTCAGGCTCAAGCCTGTCAAGGCGGCCGTCTACATGATCCTCCATCTTCCTGCACAGACCCAACTCTATGGAACAGTTCGGTTCCACGGGGAAACCTTGGATGTTCTGTGTCTGCCAGACCCGGTTCTGGAGGGCAGTCATCGCCCATTGCTGCGTTCATTATTATCATCATGCTGCTAACAGAACCATGTTGCTAAAAACCTCACTGCTAACAGAATCGTGCTGCTGTACACGTATTTTTCACGTTTGACGCCTTGGTTTTGTATTTTTGTTGCATGCTTTGGTATTTCTTGTTGTTTTTTTGGTGAGTCAAGACGGTTCTTCTCGTCTGAGCATTTTATTTTATTGTTGACCTTGTGTTGATGTGAATATGACAAATCTAAGCTAGCTGTAGCACAAAGTCTGAACATACCTTGTTTTCCAGCTGCCTCTGTTTCTCCACAGCCTCCTCCAGGGTCAGACCCAGCCATTCTGCCTCGTCTTCTGAGACCTCAAACTGCTGCTCACACAGAAAGAACAGAGTGTTAAGAGAAACGAGCTTTTATTCTCTTGAGAAATATCATTAATAAGCTGGTACAGCTGTGATGATCCTTAGTAAACTCAAAGACTTGTGGCCCACCTTGTATCTGTTATAGATGATTTCTCTTTTGGCGGGGTCATCGGGGTAAAGCTCCGTGCCTCTGCGAGCCAGGCGCAGCAGCATCGCTCTCTTCAGATCCATCCCCAGTTTGGAGTTCAGGTCTTTACTTGGAGTCTGAAAAAAGTTGAACATTAGAGTCACACAGACAGCCTGAACGGAGAAGCAGGTTTGTTGTATAGGGGCAGTTTCTGATTACTTTTAGGATGTAAAAGTCGAAGCCAAAGGCTGCATCAATCAGGTCCAGAGTTCGAGGCGTGACTGAAATGGTGAACTTGTGATTGAGGATCTCGCTGTAGAGTTCTTTCTTAAACAGTTGTGGTTTCCAGGTTTTCTTCACACGGGAAGCCATCTGAACGACAAACAAGGCAGGCATAAGTTGAGTAAATAGTCAGAGCGTGAAGTCTATACTCTAGGCTTCAATAATGACGAGGTGCAGCGCCTTCATATAAATTGGTACTTTCAACTGATCAAAAACATCAGTAAAATAGAAGCCAAACAGTTCTTGTGATACAAAAGCAGTTGACAAAACCACTGATGTAAAAAAATATCCTAAAAGACTTACTTTGTCATTTTTGCCATATTTGTAGCCTGATATCCAGCCCTCTCCACCCCACAGACCATCCTGGGACTCTGGAGGGTAGTAAATTGGAATTGGGACATCCTGCACCCGTTCCTTCAGCCCAGTCTTTGGATTGGCTCGATACTGGACTCCAAGAGGCCTCCAGTGGACAGGCGTAGGCTCTCCCTGGTCCAGGGACTTGAGGTAATGTGCAGGGAGACGTGCATAGATGCCTTGCTTCATTTTCAGAGCATCCCAAATCTTGGGCGGGTATTTATGAAAAGGCATGATGAACGATTTTACTTTTGACACACAAATCTGAAAGAGACAACAAAAATGATTGAAAAGCATTTTTTTAACGGACGACAGTGATGGAGATATGAAATTCACAAAAATCTGACTAAGACAAGATTAGTAAACAAACATATATATATATGTGTGTATATATATATATGTGTGTGTGTATATATATGTGTATATATATATATATATGTGTATATATATATATGTGTGTGTGTATATATATATATGTGTGTATATATGCGTGTATATATATATGTATATATGTGTGTGTGTATATATACATATATACATGTGTGTATATATATATATATATACATATGTGTGTGTATATATGTGTATTACATACATACATACACACATATGTATGTATATACATATACACACACACATATATATATAATATATATATATATATATGTGTGTGTGTGTATGTATACATACAC